AGTGCACGCGTGTTAGCATTAAATCACAAAAAAAACATAAATTAATTTTACAAAAAAATCGTTATAAATAAACTTTACAAAAAATATCGTTATAAATAAATTACAACAAAAGCTCAGCCAAAAGATATTTGGAAAAATATTATTAAAACAATCTTATTCAGATCAATTGTACTTTCGTAAATACTCTATTGAAAAATACAAAACAGTTTTATATACTCTTTACAAAAGAAATGATATCAAGAGGGTACATTCGTCAAGTGCGAATGATTAATCATTTTTTAATTTTATACCCACCGTTTGCGAAATAATCGGCCGTGTCCGAACTTTTGCCGTGCAAACACTAATACTCGCCTCAAGGTCACCGCCAGGGGGTTGGAAGGGCTCATTCCCAGGGTTTTGGAAAGGGCTCGGGACCAGCTTTCACATGACCTTACCAAATACCGGGTGTCCCATTTAAAAAAATCATCTTGACCTCCACGTGACCTCCACGGTACTCGTCAAGGTCAAACAAGGGTGACCAGTTGTTAGATTGGTTGAAACCCTATAACTTTTGTGTTTAACATTTTCCTCTAACTCTTATAGTTTCCGAGAAAACCGGCCGTGTCCAGACTTTTCGGACACCCTGTATACTTCTGCATATCTATACATAATTATACAAGATAACAAGTCATTCGTAAATCGCACATTCTGTGTAATTATATATTATTATATCTCATTATGCATAACCCAGTAAACACAAAGTAACAGTAACATAACATCGATGTTATAATTTCCTACTCAACAATGTAACTGTTATATAACACGCACGTTATATAACAGTTACATTGTTGAGTAGGAAATTGTAACATTGATGTTATGTCACTATTACTTTGTGTTTACTAGGTAAGTATGCATACGTTAGTATATATTTATACAATTTTATATAGGTATACAATTTTATATAGGTATACTACTGTGTCCAAAAAGTAAGACCAGTTTTTATTTATTTCAAAAAATATTTATTTATTCTTCCAAATCTATTTTGTCGCCTTCAAAGTAATCCCCTCCCGATACAATACACTTATGCCAACGTATTTTCCAGTCCTTGAAACAAGAATTAAAGTCGCCTTCCGGGATGGCTTTCAGAGCGCGTGGCGATTTACGTTGTATCTCTTCTATCGTTTCAAAACGATTTCCCCGCAGTGGTCTTTTGAGTTTCGGGAGCCAGAAGTCACACGGTGCTAAATCAGACGAATACGGTGGTTATGGAACGATATGGATCGAATTTTTGGCGAAAAAGTCACGAAGAACGAGTGCAGTGTGAGAAGGTGCATTATTTTAGTCGAGATTTTACACGTTTCAGGCCCAAAATATCTTTCAAAATGGTATTGGCAGATCCTTTTGAAATACCAACAGCATCAGCAAGGTCTCTAACAGTCATTCGACGATTAGCAAGCATAAGTTCTTCGATTTTCTTCATGTGTTGTTCATCGGTAAAGGTTGATGGTCGTCCGGAACGCTCTTCGTCTTCAACACTTTCACGACCTTCTTTGAACTGTTTATACCACTTGTAAACATTCCTTTCCGACAAAGCATGGTCCTTGAAGGCTTTCTGCAACATCCTAAACGTTTCTGCACCCGAAATTTCATTCCGCAAACAAAATTTAATGCAACTTCTTTGCTCAATATAATTAGACATTGTAAAAATCGCCGAATGCACTTTTAGCGTCGTACAAAACCAAGGGAGCGGTGCACTTGGACACGGTGCATTTGGACACAGCCAATCACAGCACCATGTGATTAGAGACATTTGTAGGGTCCCTTGGAACAGCGACTTGTGATTGGATTGTGTCCAATTGCCCCGTGTCCAACTGATATACACCCCAAAACCAAGCGTAAAGCAAAAAGTAATGAATGTTTTGACATGAAATTTGTCACAGATGTCTGTCACAATGCTGTCAACTTAGAAAAAAAATATTTATGATGTGCGGTTTACCCGCGCGATTTAAATTGAAAACTGGTCTTACTTTTTGGACACAGTAGTATATCTTCATATATAATTATATCCAGGTGGCATCAGGCAAAATTATGTATAAAGTCTTAGAAACTTATATATAATTGCATGATGCATTATATATATTTTTATATATTTTTGTCAAATTATATATAATTTTATATTTAATATTTAATTTTATATTTTATAATTAATATAATTATATATAATTATATATAAAAAATTTTTTATCAGGATTCTATCTTATAAGATATAATATTATTCACATTTGTGAATTCACGAACCAAAATTCATATTCAAAACGATAGAAAATAATAGAACGATAGAATTTTATTCTATCGTTTTCTATCAATTTTTTTTATTAGGGAAGTCAGTACTTTTTGAATGAAATCGATATCTTTAATTTCTAATATAAAATTATCATAATTATAAATCTCTAATTGCAATACAATAGACTGTAGAAAAGTCGGTGCTTTTTGAGTGGCATCGATATCTTTTTTGTAGTTGCTGAGAAATAAACAATAAATGCTAGCGATATGTAAGAGCCTATCCGCGATGTCGAGACGTATTCGCGCTCCCACACTGCTTTACCTAAAGCAGTAGTATTATTCGTACTATTATAAAACACTAATGCCAGAATAAACTGTTAAAAAGCCAGTGCTTTTTGAATGACATCAATATGTTTTGTAGTTGCCGAGAAATAAACAATAAATGTTAGCGACATGTAAGAGCCTGCATATAATGCTCAAATTAAAATTATTTTCTTCTCTTGTATCTAATAGCGAATTCGGTTGCTTGCACTAGTGTGCACTGAGTGCGCACTAAGGCTTGTTCATAGTATGTTATTATATTTAAAGATTGTCTTAAATAATTCTCAAATAAATTCTCAAATATTTTTAACCATAATATGATATGTATAACATCCGTACGAATCATTTTATTAGTTAAAATGTTTTTAAATATGTATTTAAGACACGATCTTAAATATAAGAATGTACTGTAAACAAGCCTTAATGCGCACTAGTGCAAGCTACCGAATTCGCTATAAGTCAGTGTTCCCATGCAAAATATTTCTCAGTTACAATGGCCAGAAAACGTAAACCTGAAAATTCTTCCAGAATTACGAGTAACGCAATGCGTTAATAGCTGAGCGAGATGTTTCTTTAACGATAAGATCGCTGCTAACTCGCCTCTGTGTCTACCGCTGCGATTGTTTTTCGCCTGTGGTAAGACAAGAACAGATAGTGTTGATTATCTGTCTTTGTCTAACTAACGTCAAGAATCGTGGACATTACTTCTTTACTCACCTAGACAATTCGTACACATTGGCTACGTAGTTTATGTGCACGGTTAGTTAGAGGCGCTGTAACCATTCAGCTGAAATCGGGATCAGCTAAAACCGGTTCATGATCCCTCTTCTTCTTTTCTCTGGTCTATGGTAGATTCTCTCTTGCGCGCACAAATGGATTTGAATATCCCCACTCTGTGTCACGTGATCTCTTTAGTTCGGTTGGCGAGATAGAGGTGTTGAAAAACAATTTCTTTCTTTCTAAGAAAAGAGTTAGGCGCAGTTAGGCATTTCTATTATCGTGATTCTATGAAAACATAGTTTTCTTTTGTATCTCAGAGCGAAACAAGCAATATGCCGAAAAATAAAGGGAGAAACGCATTCTATTTCTTTATGCTCGCTTGGAAGAAACGTGCGGAAGCACGAGGTTGCACATTCCCGAACGGTCTTAAGGATGTACAAGCGGATCCAGAGTGTAATATAGAATGGCAGGTAAGATTGAAACAAAGTTACGGGGAAGAAACAATATTCGTATTGTTTATGTATATACTTAGCTTTCGTATCTTTATTGACATTCCGATACTGATATAAAAGGTAAATCTTAACTCTAATATAATACATTTAATTATGTCATCTATTATTGAATGTCCTTTATTATTGAACGATTGAATGTCATTTATTATTGAGCGATTGACAGATATATAGATTCTTCGAAGTTTTACAAAAAAAGAGTGCTGGTTTAAACAAAGACAAATGTATATTACAAGGAGAAAGCGCTGTTTTTTTTAGTTAGATTTTAGTTGTTTTTCTTTTTTCATAAGAAATCCTATTAGAAAGTCAACAGTTTAATGTTATTTTTAGTAAATATTTAAAATATCCCTGTCATATATCTAGAAAAGTTTAAGCATAAGAAACTTCTTTGATATATTTTAACTCTAAAATGTAATTATTTTTTATGTATATGATAGGAGTTATCCAAGCAACATAAAGGCCCATATGAAGCTATGGCAAAGAAAGATAAAGTTGCATCACAGATCCGTGCAGATAATAAAAAGACATCACTAGGAGAATCGATACAACAGTTGGAAGAGCAAGAAATGGCAGAACAAAAATTCATAGCAAATATGCATGAATATCTAGAATCAACAATTACAAGATCTGTAAATCATAATGGCAAGTGATATATATTTATGATACTATGATATACAATATAACTTATGATAATATATTAATAATTTTACTTATTATACAGTTTTACCACAGCTGAAATTCTGCTTTATACATGTTAATTGGTTCTTCACGAAGATTGTAGACAATGTTATTGAATATTTCCCAGCTGAATATGCAGTTGGAGTTTTTTCACTTGAGAATGGCATAGAAGATGTATATCATGTAGTTGTTGGTGCTCCAATTCCATTGGGATATAAACGGGAAGCTATGGAAACCAGTCAATCTACTCATAATATACCTACAGAATATGAAAGTGGAGAAACTGACTTTGCCATTATGTATGAGAAGTTAATTAATTTCTTGGAACCTAGGAAGATTGTGGACAAATATCCTCCACTTTATACAACAAGACCTCTCAAAGGAGCAGTACAGTCTTTATTAACCAAACTATGTGATACAGCAAGTAAATAAAAAAATATCTTTTTGCACCTTATCATACAAACTTTTATTTTAATAATTTAAATAATTTCACACTTGTTCTTCTAATATATATTTATCTTTTTAAGATACATATTGATATATATTTATTTTTAAAAAATCCACTTTCATTTCAGAACAAGATGAAGAGCAGTTTCTGATTTATGAGGTAGAATCACTATTTAAACACTTAGCGGATGAAGCTTACAAGAAACGAACAGATCGAGAAATTAAGTATACTGCTGCTTATGCTGAATATGTATTTACACGCTTGAAATATATTTACAAAAGAGGCAATGAGTGTACAGTGAGTGGTTTTATGAACTTGCATTTTGAAGTTTATTGGGTTAACAAGAAGTAACGATATCTCTTATACAGTTTCATAAATTTACGGATGGTGGGTCTGAATATTGTAGCAAGTCTATCCTGTATCAGTGGACATGGAAAATGTGTGAAGAATTTTGTGAACCACTTCAAATAAACATGAGACCAGGAGTGCACTTTCCTGAAGAAACAGATTGCAACTATAAAATTATGATGCAGTCAATGGCTAATTTAGATATTAAGCGTGAAATTCTTCAAAATTCTGAGTTATGTTCTGTAGTGTCTGCAACAGGAGTAAGTACAACATACTTGAAATGTATTATCTTATATGATAGGACATAAAATGTTATAAACTGATAAATCAGGAAAATGCATCATCTGTAACAAAAAAAAAGATGAGATTTTGAGAGCGGGCATAAAAAGGTAATATTACAACAGTAAAATATTTTTAAAGATTATTTGAAAATTAATCTTGATTTTTAGATATGATTTATCATATGATTTTTATTTATGTTTATTTTTTTTTTACATAAATTGTTTCCTCCGGTCGTTTTAAGTATAAAAGTTTTAAGGTAAATCATCAAAACGTGAACACTTTTCGAGATATTTTACATTTTATCCTGATACTGTTGAACATATAAGATGAAATATCTTATAAAACATTCATTTCTTTATTAACCTCATTTTTATATTTTTATACGTAGAATACACACACACACACACATACACACAGACACAGGGTGTCTGACCCGTACCAAAGCTAATATATAGCTAGAATAGGTCGGAGTGAGTAATGGAATCGATGTCTTTTTTTTAAACAAAAAATTGCCTATCTTATTTGGTAGCTGCTACTAAACAACCTACCTCTCTGGCCTATGAGATAGGTTCGCGAGCAATCGTCTATTTTCTTCGCCGGTCGCGGCGAGCCGTATGTCCCGCCTGCCACGTTGCTGCGCTCTGATTAATCTATTTACTTTATTTAATAACTCGAAATTTTACGTGGTTTAAAAAAAGACACCGATTCCATTATTTACCTCGATCTATTCTAGCTATATATTAGCTCTAGTACGGTACGAGTCAGACACCCTGTATACACACACACATACATACACATATATGTGTACATATAAAATATATAAATTGTTATAAACTAATATCTAAGAAAAGATACATTATACTATATACAGACTGCCCACACTCTCTTTATCAAATTAAGTAGGAATGTAGAACGAGTTGAAGTGAATATAAAAGTCTTATATATCGTTTTGCGATATTCGCAATAATAACCGAGAAATTAATTGTAAAAGATTAAGGAAAAACTCATGTTGAATGGTTGATGGTGGAGCGCTCGCGGTCTAATATAACGCACGGATGTCGGCGCGCGATGATTGGAAAAACAATGTACCATTGCCTATACTTATATTGTTGCACTCCTACATCTCGCCTCGGTATGGTGCGGCAAGACGTGAATCAGAATGATATAAGATGCGCGTTGACATCTGCCTGCTATATTATTGGGTCACAAGAGCTTCTCCCTTAACCATTCAGCGTGCGTTTCCCCTTAATCTTTTACAATTAATTTCTCGGTTATTGTAAATATCGCGCAAAACGATACAGGACTTTTATGTTCACTTCAATCCGTTCTACATTCCCACTTAATGTGATAAGGAAAGTGCGGGACATCCTGTATATTATGATATTATGTTATATTATGTTATTATTATTATTATATTATAATATTATTATAATTATATTATAATATTATTATTATTACATTATATTATTATATTATATTATCAGGGTTGGGTAGTAACTAGTTAAAAAGTTAAAAGTTAAATTAAAAAGTTAAAAAGTTACATAGCTTTAACTTAACTTAGTTATATTTTTATACTTTTAACTTTTAATTTAGTTACATTTTATCGGTAACTATTAACTTTTAATTCAATTATCTTGAAGTTAACCATGCCATAAAGGTGTCGCGAGACGTCGAAAAGCTGTTCAGTGCAGGAGGGCTCATTTTCGACAATCTTTGAGGAAAAATGTCCAATAAAAATTTTGGAAAAACTTTATTACTTAAATTTAATAAGTATCTACACTGTAAAAATTGTGTTAAATTTAACATTTCGTGTGTCCCAAATCATCCAATCTCATTTATATGTAAATTTAACACAAAACAAATGTGCTAAAAAGTAACACGCATAATATGTAAAAAATTAACACAAGAATTTAACACTTGAATACCATCAGGAATCACAGTTTGTGTTAAATTGACATAATTGTATAATGTTAAATTAACTAAAATGTTACTTTAACATTTGAGAGAAGTATTAATCCATGATTTTGATGAAATGAAAATGTTAAATTGACATAATCTATGTCCGATATATTAAATATGTCAATTTAATACAACCTATGATTCCTAATAACAATATTCAAATATTAAATTCTTGTGTTAATTTTTTCCATATTATACGTTTAATGTTACTTTTTAACATATTTGTTTTGTGTTAAATTTACACATAAGAGTGGATAAATTTACATAAATAAGAGTGGATGACTTGGGACAAATGACATGAAATGTGTTAAATTTAACACATCAATTTTTACAGTGCGTAAATAAAACATGTTCCCGGTGTACATTTGTTTTTTCCGTTATTTGTAAAACTGAAACCCTGAAGTCATGAAATGAAACAAATTTAACTATTAACTTTTTAATTACTTTTTGTAATTAACTTAACTTTTAATTCAATTAATTTCATTATGGATTAACTTTATCTTAATTAAGTTAAATTTTCAAAGCCATTAACTTTAACTTAATTTAGCTAAAAAAAAAGTTGACTTACCCAACCCTGTATATTATATATATGGATTTACAGACACAGACAGATAATATATTGAATAATTTTCTGATTAATTATGTGAAATATATACATACACGCAATGCTATTTTTTGAGCGATATTTATTAATGTAATTATTGTTTATATATTTTAACAGGTAAGCGAGCAACATAGAATAAAAGTTTCTGAGAGAACATATGAAGAGGAAATACGTCGTCGGAAAGAGTCTAAGCCTGTATTAGTCATTGATCACAGTAAATTAAAAAATAAATCTGGTACTGCTGTTTCTAATGAACATGTTGACAAAGTTATTATTAAACATGCTGATACAGCTGTTAATAAACTTACCAATGAATCAAAGGAAAAATGTACAACAAATTATGTGCGTATATTTTTACAATTGTTATGTTAATTGAAAAGTACAACATTATTTATTAATTTTATTTTTTTAGGTAGGTAGGTTTTTATTTGAAAAACCAATGCAACTTCCAAGTACATGTAAGTAAAACATTCTTTATTTAAATTAAATAAGTAGGTTACACACACACATACATAAAGAGCGCGGCATTTAAATTAGGGCAGTTAATCTATAAATAATGCAGCAAAACAAAAACATTTTTCAGACGAATGTTGATATTAATATGAGATTATAGAAAAATTAATATTTTATAAGAATATTTTATTTCATATCTTGTATACAATCTGAAAAATATCTGAATATAAAGTGTAAATTATTTCAGAAAGTACTTACTTTTTTATGATTTTATCTCAGCACTTTTTTAGAACGACTCTAGGAAGTGTTTAAAAAACAATATGATTCCATTTAAAAAATTCAAACTGACCTTGAAAAGACTGACGTGTTCATTACAAGCTCAAAAAGTCAATAGCATTATCTATCATATATCTCCTTTGAAACTCTACAACTTTAGTCTGAAACATTCTCTTTTTACTTTGCTTTGTTTTTATGAAATATTTATAGAGTGTTTATGAATACTACTATTATTTTATGAATAATACTATTTGTATTTTTCTCATTAAAATAAAAAGAGAAGTTTGTATAAACTCATAATAAAATATGAGTAGTTGTGAAGTTACAGTAAAACAAAATTTATGTTAACGTTGCTATTAAATAATCATAAATAAATACTCAAATTATAATAAATGCTTAAAATGATCGTCATTTGATTGAAAACAGGCATTGAGACAGCGAAGGTCGAACTATTTCAAAGATTCGCGGGCGATTCTGTATAGCCTTACAGGTATTAATAATGCATTGGCGAAGCATCTCTTCGTTATCAATAGGTTAGCCCTTTGTTAATCTATCTATCTAGATAATTATTATTGAACAAATTTCTTGCTTGACAACTAAAATGTTTTGTTTCATTCTATCAGTTATAGCCATGCGGTGTCCGTCGAAATTTTGAACATATCACTCTTGCCTTGATTGTTATAATTTAAATATTTACTTATGATTATTTGATAGTAACATTAGCATAAACATTGTTTTATTATGTGCAATACAACTTTGCAACCACTTGTATTTGATTATGGGTTTATATGAACTTTTTTTTTATTTTGACGAGAGAAATATCCTAAAAGATTAAGTATTTTGTAAACACTATGTGGAGTCTCAATTAGGAATAGACTCCTAATATTTAGGAGTCTCAATTAGGAATAGACTCCTAATATTTAGGAATCTCAATTTAAATGCCGTATTCTATGTATAAAATTTGTCTATCTTGATGAAAAATAATTGTCTATATTTCGTTTTATCTTATATTTTTAACGATTTCTAGCATATGCAGCTGCCACCATAGATGATTATATTCCAAAGAACGACGAACAGAGCTTTCCTCCTATTGGTAAATCAATATATAACATTATATATAGTTATTATATGTATATAGCACACAATATAATTTATACATCTATATATATAGGTGGAAGAGGTTTGTTATGTAAAAAGAATAAAGACGGATCAAGGAGACCTATGGGCAGAGGTAAAATTACGTTATAGTATATAAAATGTTTACACATTAATTTGAAGGATTTTATTCAAATTTGGTTTTATTTGTTTATTAATTTATTTAATTCCCTCTCTCTTTCTCTCTCTTTAGGTCAAGGTTATGCGTAAATAAAATTACCTATGGGTTACAAATCTGCGCGAAAAGAATATAAACTTAATCATTCATTTTATGTGAAAAATATGACAATTTTCTTTTATTCATAGTCTAAAAACATTGTTACTTTTTTACATGAGTCTAATTATAGACTAATTATAAACATATAAGTACATAATAAATAATCAAAGATTGTAGTTTTTTAAAACTGCAATATTTATATGAATTAGTTTATAAACTAATTTCATTATATTTAATATTTTTTCTTTCTATGTGATAATCTAAGTGTAATATTGATATAATAAAAAGGGATATTTTTTAATTGAAAAATTTTAATTTTATTCCTATGTTTTTTTGCTCTACTGAATGATAATAATGTAAAATACTTGTGAAATTCATCAAAATGGAATAATTATAGCGTACAATCTAAGAAAACTTGAAGTCTAAAGAGATAATAGATTAGTTAAAGCAAATTAAGGGCGAATAATGTGGAATTATATGACGTTTAAGTAGAAAGAACACTTCGTATATATATGTTTTACTACAAGCTTGTATAAATACGTACATAATATGAGAGTTTCTCAATCGCTTCAGCGAAAGGTACAAGCGTATATATGTTCGATAATACATTTATCATATACAAAAATCATATATATATATATATATATATATATATATTATATATATATATATATATATATATATATATATATATATATATATATCATATATAATATATAAATACGCATACACACACACACGCACACACACACACACATGCACGCATGCATAGTATGAAGTTATCTTAATTAGTCCTTGTGTAATAACTGTTATATGAATGAAAGTCATTATCTGATGTGCAAATGATATTGGGGAGTAGGTAGTGTGTATATTTGTATGCGTGCGTGTATGTGTGTATGTAGGAGAAGGGCGGAAGGGGAATGGAATTACAATATCTCCGAATAAAAGCCATAAACGAGGGAGGTCCGTAATGGTTGTCACCGAAAGTGCGCGCGATATATGTCATATTTTGGCAAGGTAGAGCCCATGTCGGACGTTGCTTATTTGCGGTAAGCGTTACGTGGAGGCAAATATTGATTGCTAGCGCCGTCGCCTCCGACAAAGCCGCCTCCACCGAAACCTCCTCCAGGCCCGAAAACGCCTCTACCTATTAATAAAATATAGAAGATAATTACAAGAATTATAGATATGTGATCTGTATGATTATATGTATGTATGTATGTATGATGTACACACACACACACACACACACACACA